TTATCTAAGATATGAATAATTTAAGGATAATTATACATAAACTTTTGTTTTTTTTAAATAAGAATTCCAGAATTTCTCTTTTTTAATGGAAATTATTGAACGCCTATGGCTTTTTGTACTTTTTATGGTTCAGGATGTGTTGTATTTCATAAAATATGTTGAATTTAAGGGAAAAGATTCTAAATGTAATGTTCGCATTGCTTAAAAATACAAATATTTCTTCTTTTATATCAGAAATAATGCAACGTCAATTGCTATCAGTCATTATAAATGCCTTTATATAATTTTTTTTTAATAAAATGTGAATAAATGTTGGATAAATATGCATTAACTTTTGTATTTGTTGAACAAGAATGCAATAATTTCTTTATTTGAATGGAAATTATTGACTGTCATTAGATGTTTGTACTTTTCATAGTTTAGTATTGGTTGTTTTTCATAAAAGTAAAAGAAGATTATAGAAAATATCCTAAAATGTTGTTCGCATTGGTTAAAATTACCAATTTCTCTTGTTTTGTTAAAAAAATAATGCAATGTTATTTGTAACTAGTTATTTCAAAGGCTTCAAAATTATTTTTTTTATAAGAATTTTAATATTGTAAGTACAATAAGGCTTAAACTTTTGTTGGTGTTCAAAATGAATGCAATAATATCTTCATTTTGAGAGAAATAATGAATCACCATTTGATTTCAGTACTTTTTGTACATCAGGATTGGTTGCATTTCATAAAATATGTTGAATTTAAGGGATCAGATACTAAATTTAATATTCGCATTGCATAAAAATACAAATATTTCTTCTTTTATATCAGAAATAGTGCAATGCAATTGCTATCAGTCATTATAAATGCCCTTAGATAAGTAATTTTTAATAAAAAATGAATAAAGAAGGATAGATATGCATAAACTTTTGTTTTTGTTGACATAGAATGCAATAATTCCTTTATTTGAATGGAAATTATTGACCGTCATTGGATTTTTGTACTTTTTATAGCTTAGGATTGATTATTTTTAATAAGTGTGGAGACTATCAGAAAAAATATACTATAATGTTTCTCTCGTTGTTTAAAATTATCAATATTTTTTATTTTTAAGAGAATTTGCAGCATTATTATTTTTATTTGTGATTTGTGATTTGTTATTTTAATGGCCTCGAGATAATTTTGTTTGAAGAGTTTTAATATTATAAGGATAAAATACTTAAAAATATTTAAAAATAATACATCGAAATTTGGAATAAATGATCATTTCAAGAGCATTTTCGGAAAATAATAAAATCACTGTAAATCGCGATAAACACCGTTTTAGAAATGTCCGGGTTTGAAAAAATATAACCTAAATTAAAACGAAAATGGCCATTCTTTAATAGTAATATTTAAATTAAGTTGTATATGCATATTTCTTTTCTTTTTAAATTCTTAAAACTGTGCTAAATAATTAATAAAAAAAGATGTTGATCATTTGTACTTGAATGTTTCGTATTTTCCATGTCGCCATTTTATTTAAATGAAACGAAACTAAGATTTCGTAATTTGTATTAGTTTATCATGTGACGTAGTAGAGTTCAATCCGTCAGAAAGGTCGATCGGTCCTATCCGTCCGATCCGTCCGATCAGTCAAATACTTTTACTATAAGTCTGACGGATTGGTGACGTGAGTTTGACGCGAACTTGACTGATCGGTGACTGATCGATGACCGCTGATTGATCGCTAAAACAGTAACGCCTAAGGTTGCAAGTACTGTATGTTAAGGATGTACTTAGGTGACGTTTAGGAATTTTTGTCAAATGTTCGGACTCCTTGGTTTTTTTCCTACTATACAGGGTAAAATATTTTGCCCCATAATACCAATTTTCTTTTCATATAAGTGTAACCGGAGAGCATGATTCTACTTGCAAAATCGTATGTCTCCACCAGGACTCGAACCCGGGACCTCTGTGTTACAAGGCAGCGCGTTAACCGACTGAGCTAAAGAAGTACTTCCTTAGCTCAACCGCTTACGGCTGACTAAGTATCTACTAATGAAGGGAAGCAATCCCGTCACACTTCCCCCACCTCAAGAGTCATCATACCATTATGACTCTCACACACATACCCTAGCTAGAAATCCTCTCTAACTACAATGGGTTTTTATTGTTGGGCGCCAATGTAACCGGAGAGCATGATTCTACTTGCAAAATCGTATGTCTCCACCGGGACTCGAACCCGGGACCTCTGTGTTACAAGGCAGCGTGTTAACCGACTGAGCTAAAGAAGTACTTCCTTAGCTCAACCGCTTACGGCTGACTAAGTATCTACTAATGAAGGGAAGCAATCCCGTCACATAAGACTTCAATAGCTAATAAAAGGTCATTTATCAAAATCTAAGCAAATAATACCAATGCAAATATAAGGTAAAAGTCAGAGTCAGCCTTTTCCTGCCAATTTTTTAAAATCAAATATTTCAAAAAGAAGTTCCATAGCCTATCAATAATTTTAGATTATTTTGTTCCTTAACTAATGCTCTTCTGACTTATAATATCAATTTCAAATTCTAGATTTTTTTAATTTCACCTAAGTACATCCTTAAATGAGGAAGATTGTCACTTTTTCTGCCAAAGGTCATAGTTTTCTCCAGGTACTCTGGCTTCATCTGCCAATAACAACTGACTGTCAAGATATAGCAAAGAGTGCTGGCTGTGGCATTAAACACAAACAATCAGTTAATCAATCTAAAGAGTTTGAGGTTCAATATTTGGGTCACTCTACAAATTATGGAATACCACAGTATTTGTTTACCGTGGATTCATTCATTTTCATGGGTACCAATTTTTGTGGATTGAGGAAAACTTACCTTTTCATGGATATTTGCTTTCATGGTTTTGCATATCTCTGCATACAAGAGGGTAGGAATGCCCTTTACCGTCAGGCGTCAGACGGTCATTTTCGGCTACCGTTAGCATCAAATTGGTTAAAATTTTACAGAGATTCGTCAAAATATCCTTATCGTGATTCGTCAGAGGTCTCAAATAATTATCATTACCCTTATTTTTGGAAAAAATTTAACATGATTCGTCAAAATCAGTTGATTTTTTTTAACGTCTGAAAGAAAGTACATTTTATCGTCATGCACCAAAAATTACCGTTAACGTCATTTGGCAAGATTTTTTACCGTTATTCGTCATGAAGGTAACCCCATTACGACCCTCATACAAAGTCTATAGAAAATTTGTAATTGGTTGAACATTTGAATTCATGGTTCACATGTACCCACAAAACCCACGAAAATTGGTATCCAACGAATAATAATGAATCCTCAATATTCAAAGTAGCAGGTATGATAAGAGCCATTACTTTGCCCCTGAAATTACACATGTTAGATGTGCAAAAATAATAGTCAATGTATTCAAGCCTTTCAAAACTATCTTAATTTTATTGATAAAGGAGTATGTTTTACCTGTGTTTTTAAATTGACACCTGACATAATCACAAGCTCAGAACTAATATTATAAACAAATAAAAATACCTTATCTGTTATATTTGTTCCGGACCATATGAGTATTTGGACCATACGCGTATGGTCATGACCATATGCGTATACTCATCTGGTCCGACCATACGCGTATGGTTGGAACATATGAGTATTATACTCATTTGGTTATTAACGGGCCGGACCATACGAGTATTGACCATAAAGGTATTTTTTCAAATAATTATAATTTCCTTTGCATGAACACACAGCTCATTCTCTGAACAAAAAATGGCACTTGTTACTATCTGAATTCCTTTATCTTTTAAATATTGTCTGGATCTTGGTTTATCTGTTATTTTACATTCGCTAGAGTCAATTTAAATTGCCTTTATACTGTTGATATTCTTCCGAAATACCACATACGTTTTGGGCGTGGATTTTTTTCTTAGACTGTTTTCTTTGTGTTTAAATTCTTATTTCAGAACAAAATTTCTTCTTTTTTCTTCTTATTTTCATTTATTTGATGTGTTCTTGCTCCTATTCATACTATCTTATTGGCATTGTAAGATCGTATGAATAGGAGCAAGAACACATGAAGTAATCAATTAAAAACAATTAGCATGATTAGAGAGATTTAAGAAATTATAATTTAATAAAATCTAATTTAAATACCAACATAAATTTAAAAAAAGAAAAGAAAAAGAAGTTAAGCAATTGACGTATTGTTTGAATGTTCATTTAGATATTTCTTGAAGTAATTTTTCAAAGTCGACATATTGCGTTTCATAAGGACAAATCGATAATGACCATATAAAAAATATTTTACTATAATACTTATTTGTAAGTTATATTCACTTTATCAAATTATTCATTTAGCAATGATTACCATATGATTGAATAAGTCAAAAGTTCATTTTTAGAAACTCTTTTATGTGACACCTTTTCAACGTTCATCATGTTAATTACCCGGTCCATACGCATATGGTCTGACCATACGGGTATATACGCGTATGGTCTAAATACTCATATGGTCCGGAACATATTCAAATACTTTTAAAATCAATAAAATTTTAAATCCAGTGATTGCTTGTCATTTGGAAAAAAAAAAAAAAAACAATCTGAAAATGAATCTGAAATCCCTCGTACTTTAGTATTAACGTGAAACTTCCTGTTTTTATTTTATCTTCAAAATCGAAAAAGAAGCTTTGGTAATTCCTGAGAAATATACCGTTTTGAGTCATGAAAATCATTAAAATTTTAAACGGTTGTATTCCTCAAATTGTTTTTTTAACGTTTTTATAAAAATGGTAAGAAAATTCATGAAAGTAAATGCGATGAAACATTCGATACAAGTTCATTGATGCCATGAATCTAGTGCGAATAATTTCAACAGTTTGGAATAAGGTCTCCCAACTTTTAAGTCATTTCAAAATGACCGAAATTATATGAAAACATTTCCCGATCCTTATAATCTTCCCCCTAATTTTTATATTGATTCAACACTCTGAATTTTAAGATTAATAGAACACAAAAATGAACTATACCGAACCTCTTCGACATGTTGCTCTTTTTGCACTCATTCCTCACTTTGCATCTTTCTCCATCTAGGAAACTAACATTCATATAGTCTACAGCCTGGGTTTTGTTAGGCCTCCCAGTATCTGCATTACAACTAAATGTTACATTGGTACCAATGGATGCAGTCTGATTGTCAAAGGGAAGTTGCTTTATTTCTGGTTCTTTTTCTACAAGAAGCAAACATAAAATGATTTTAATGTAAGAACACCACAAAAATAATTTAATCTGATGCATGATAACATTACTTTTTAAGTTACTAGTACTAAGTTTAGCATTTCTTAAAGCTATTTTGGTAATCGTGATTAATCATGGTTAATGACTGGAATGCTTAACTGATTAATCATGGTTAATGACTGGAATGCTGAACTAAAAAGTAATTGGAGAGTGTTTTTATCAATGGTATTGTAATGAGGAAAATTTGGAGATGCAGATAGGCAATGAAAATGCTGTTCATAAACATTACGTTTTGTTGTGTTTATTGGAATTTTGTGCCTTATGTAAATTAAGTATATACAGTTATTCATTGTTATATGAATTTCAAATGTTTTTTCTGGTTTTTGCCAGTTTTTAAGTTGCCATCTTATAGAATAGATGTATACCCCAAATCGGTTAATACTATTCATATTTCTATTGTTACAATGAACTTTGACTATGTCATGTATGTGCATGTATGCTGGAAGCAAGAAGATCCTTACTGAAATGGAACAATCAAGATGATCAATTCCATGCAAACACTCAATCTTTCACATTTTCCAAACTCATAAAATAAGCATTAAAGCTAAGATGTTCCTAAAACACACTCTACTGGAGTAGATTGCAATCAACCAGGGGTCTCAACATGGGAGTTTGGGTACAGAAGTGAAGCTGGTATTTAAAAAAACATCCCCCATTCATATGTTGAAGTCTTATAAAAATCAGGACCCATCAGCAATAATATAACAAAGGGATTCAGATCCCTTTGAACACTTGCAGTTTAAATTTATTAAAGAAATTCTAGGAATACATTGCAAAGCATCAAATGCTGCATGTTTAGCCGAGCTGAATAGATTGCCTTTATATACCAGAATAGAATCTTCATCAATAAAGTATTGGCTCCATATCCTAGAGTCAAATAATGCTCTTGCCCTAAAAATATACAAAGCAACTGAAAAAAACAACTCTTGGATAATAAATATTAAAAATCTTATTTCAAAACTTGGATTTCATTTTATTAATCTAAATCCTTTTGATATTAAAATTTTTTTAAAACACATTCAAGAGAGAATCAAAGATACAGCCTTTCAAAAGCAAGAGACTGACACCAATCAAAATAAAAAGTAAAATTTTTTAATATACTATATAAACCAAATAAAAGACCCTCATATGTTGATCAATGCAAATCCAAATGTGATAGATCAACATTGTGTAAATTAAGGATAAGTACTCATACTTTATCTATCGAAAGAGGGCGATATTTAAAAATACCAAAGCAGAGTAGGATATGTCTTTGCTTCAACAATGGAGACATTGAAGATGAACTGCATTTTCTTCTAAAATGTTCATCCTATAATATATGTGAGAGATAACCTCATTAAAAAATTAAATAATGTTCTATTGAACAACAAATTACATTCTTTATCATATAATGGTTTAGAATAAAAAATAAAGATGGTTTACTGTACGATACCTATATGTGTAACAAAAACATGTTTACTAATAATATTGAATGCTGGTATTCATCCATACATTACATTTTTAAGAAGCTGAATATTCATAATTTGGAGGTAAAGCTTAACTTTTTTATCAAGTCATTTAAGCAAAAACTTTGTAATAGTTTTGTAAAAATTTGGAACACAAAAAGAACAGATACAGAGTAGTAAATTAGATACTTATTTCAAACTAAAAACTTGTTTTTCTAAAGAAATGTATCTTAATCTTTAAACAATTTTGAATTGAGAAGTGCCATATGTAAAATCAGAATCAGTGCCCATGATCTCAAAATAGAAATAGACAGGTATAAAACTTTATATATAGAAAGAGACCAAAGCCTTTGTAAGAAATGTACTCTAAATCTGGTTGAAGATGCACAACATTTTATTACTAGTTGTCCAGCATACAAAGATGATAGGGAGATATTTTTCAAGGAGATAAACAGTATTTGTCCTAATTTTTCATATCTCTCAAATGAGGCAAAACTTGTTTGGTTATTTACTAATGAAAATTTGTCTGTACTTAAATATTTAGGGAACTATGTAATTACATGTCTAGATGTTAGATGAAATGTAAATTAATGTAAGTAATAACAATGATAATTGTAATGATTTTATGGTTCTGGTCCTGTTTTTCTGTTACAAATCATCATGATCATGATGTATTGTTTTATGTGTATATGTCATGCTGCCCATCAAGGGCCCTTGATTGGAATTGGAATAATAAATATTCAAAATTTTTTTTAAAAATTCATAAAATATAACTTGCTTATATCATGTATATCAATTCTAAATAGTAATTCCCCAACAGTATTAAAAATTGTTGTGAACTATTTGAATGAATGCTTGATGTAGAGAAACTCATTATTAAAAGATACTTGATTTCTTTTTTTAAATAATTTATATGTTTTTTTATATTTTTATATATTTCTCTCATACTTATCCACTGTCACTCCTTCATTGTACATATGTTATTGTACTTTGTCTGTATTTTGTTGCCATAACCATTTATTTTTCAATGTGTTAGTGCTAATAAAGTTATCTTATCTTATCTTATAATCCCGCCAATAAGTATATTTCACAGCAAAATCATAACCCATTCATATACTTTTCAGTTTTCACATATATATGTTAGACTCAAATCGACATATGGTCTCTAATCAATGTCCGTTCATCAAATCGACATCCAATGTGACTTCAAGTATTTCCAAAACGACGTCCAATCAATCAAAGTCTTCTCTAAACAATGTCAATATCATTTTATAATTCATTCTAAGTAGATCATTATTTATATTATCTGTAGTAATCGTTTTGTTGCATTGTGTAAACCCCTTAAATTTTTGTTTGTTTTCTTATATCTTTATACATAAGGAATCACAATGACTTAATTGACGTATATGAGAAGGAGCAACACAGAATCCCTTCTCAAATAATAAGCTAAATCAAAGGACAAACATCAATAAATGACACCAAGTCAACCACCAACATCATGTTATATGTACAATTTGGAAGCTTGACTGTTTCTCTTACAACTGGAAAACAGTGGTCTGTAGCGCTTCATATATTGTATCAGCCTTTCTTTGGTTTTTCTCGTGGTTTTCTTACATCATATACACTAACTCATTTGTACTCCAGCATCTTCTAAATTAAAAACAGTTAAATAAGCTGATATCCTGAACATTGATTCTGTATCCTTGTCATAGAAATATTAATACAGAATGGTCATCACAACTCTAGCAGATAATCCAAGTTTTAGCTGTGTTATGATCACTGTAACCCCAACTGCTGTTTTGTTCCTTTGCATTGATTAATATTTACTTATAAAATGGCATGTCGGCCCAAAATTTCTTGACATTTGGATGTTTCACACTTATTCCTTTTTTACTTTTTTTTCTCTCTTAAAACATATCCATCTTTAGGAACTGTGTCTTGTCCCATTAATAAGCCATCAATGACCCTTTTAAGAAAGTTGAGACGTCATTATGGTGACTCCGTAATAAAAGGAGGCCTATCAGAGAAGCCAGGAATAAGACATCAATTTGAGAACAAAAATTAAAAAAAAGACGTAATTAGAGTGACATAGAAATGGCCATCAATATGGAATCTTATTTTATTATGACTTCAGATTTGGACGTTGATTTGAGGAACAGATGTCGCTTGGAGACCAGATGTCGAACTGAGTCTTACATACTGGTATATACAATCTATGACAACTTAAATAAAGAATTATTGTATAAAACAGCATATATACAGATATCTAATTGAGAGAAAAATTACTGACCCATTGAAATTTTACCTTAAATTTTATGTCAACAGTAGTTTTGTGAGAGGACAGTTGCCAGACTAAGTTTTAAATTTTGTCAGATCATTAGAACACAGAAACATAGTGATTATATCATTAAAGCATCCGCAAACCTTTTATTGGAGTAATATCTGCTTAACCTTCCAGAGCATCAGAGATTTCCACAAATTTTTGGTGGGGTTTATTTTGCTCAGTCTTTAGTTTTCTATGTTTTGTTGACAATAATGTCTTTTCCTCGATTTTGTATTTCCCCATCATAGCAAAGTTTTGTCAGAGTCTCTATAGGATTTATGAGCTTTGAATATCCACTTGGAACCTTAGCTTCTTCTGTTTCATTTACCTGAATGGTGTTTGAGCATATTTTATTTCACACTTGAATTTAGCATGCTACCAGCTGGAGATCATAGAAGTCTGAAGTGTTTTAAAAAGTATATATGATGATACCTTCAATATAAACATAATAACCATGACCATTTTCACCATCTACACAAATGTAATTTCCAACTGTTGAAATGTGAAACTCTTTCACTGTTAATTTTCTTTTACCATTGTCCAACTCACAATTAACTTGGCAAAAAGAAAATGGGTATAGGTTTGGAGTATATGGAGGATGTTCGCCTTGATGAATAAAATACCACGTTATATTTTGTCCTTGTACTTTTATATTGTTACACAAAATTTCCACTCTGTCTCCTTCTTCTTTCGGAGGCAAAGTTGTGAAATTAATTTGGTAACTTTCTACAAATGAAAAAAAATTAAACATCATTTATAAACTAAGATCATATGTACTGAAAACCTTGAATGAATGTTAGAAGTTCCCTCATTTAACCCCAAGGTTTGACTGAGGCATAGAAATATGGTAATCCCTGAACTTATCCATTCAAGCAGTTAGCTCTGTCCTGCCGTTTTATTTTTCACTCTATTCTTTCCTGCAATTTTTTTTATTAGTTTATTCTGACTTTTTTTACATAAATCATTGTAAATTGTCGTCATACCATTTTTTTTTTTTTTTTGCCAAGTTGCTCATCCTGCCTTTTTTTACTCACAACACCTGTCCTGCCTTTTTTTCAAATTTCATCCTAGCCTCCCCCCCCCCCCCCCCCCCCCTTTCCCCCATAAAAATCAAATGGTAGCTCCCTTAAACCCTTGCCCAAGTGTGGCATCCATTTGGCTGTGTAGGATGTATACATACACACTCACATGCAACAAAATTAGACATTAATTTTAATGCCTCTTTTAGGATGAGCATTAACGTCTCTGCATGTTAAACTTAAAGAGCCCTTGCAAAAATTCTCTACATGGTCTGTTACTATGCTGGCATGTTGAAAGGCAAATTATTTGCCTCTATTCAACATGTATTCATTTTCTATTTACAGTTCAATCCCCCCTTCTTTATCATGGTAGACCTACCTGGCAGAACCTGTCTATTGCATCAACTGGTAATTTGTTTTGAATATGCATGACAATAACAGCAAGAGGTACCCAAGAGCCTAAATGACTCATCTGGTAAAAATATGCATTTCTGATATTTAATTTTTCCTTTATTGCAATCAGTTATGTTTGCTTATTTGTAGATCTTATTTAGTGGCAATTTTGTAGGTCTTGTATTGATGATCATTATTACTGTTACAGTTAATACCTTTCTATTAAAGTTTTTGAGATAGAAAATATCATTTAATGGCAATAAACCCTATAACTAGTGTGATAATTTGGCCATGTTGACTTACTTGTAGATCCTATTTTGCTGATTTTTTGCTTATAAAGTTTCTCTCTGATTTCTACAGTTTTTAACAGAAATGCAATAAGAGTGCACACATTAACTGTCTCACCTGCTTTACTTATCATGATTAGACTATGTTGAAAATCTTTCAATATGTAGGTTTTACTACAATTATCACATAAACTTCACACAGTAGTAAAATCTTTAAAATTATTTTTATTGGTAGTTAACCATCGATTTTGATTTTTAAAAATTAAGACATAACTATATATATATATATATATTGCTACGTATGTACAATTATGAGAACTCATTATCCTACATCCTGTCGATATTGTTTACTTATCATGCTTATATTTTGGCATTGCAAAGGTCATGCATATCTCAGACTGTTTAAGACGTTTTACACTAAATCCATGTGTAATAATTGATACTTAAGTCTGGGAGAACATAATTCATTTATTAGTTGTAATTTGCTTTGAAGTAGCATTTAGGATCTTAGAGTACACTTATTTAAGTGCTTTGTTTCTATTTTTTTATATTAGTTGTTTTTGTGCCTTGACCGATCTCTTTAGTTAAGCCAATCCCTTCTGATTTTTGTAGTTTGGTCATATGTTATACTGTTACACCACTGTCCCAGGTAAGCATGGTAAGGAGAGGGTTGATTGCTCACAAACATGCTTTTAAAACCCCACAACATTTTTAATGTGCCTGTAGTTCAGTGGTTATCGTTGGTTCATGTCAGTCTTTTTGTTTTTCTTAAATTGTTTTGTTATACATGTTATAAATTAGGCTATTGGTTTTCTAGTTAGAATTTGTTCACATTTTTCAAGTCGGTGTCTTTTATAGCTGACTATATGGTATGATTTTTTCTTATTGTTGGAGTCTGTTTGCTTACATCCACTTCATTTTGAACTCAGGTGGATTGTTTTCTCATTGGCAATCATCCCATATATCTCATTTTTATATTATCAATGATCCATGTAAATGAGGTCAAAGTCAGAGGAACATGACAGACAGATATGTACACCTAACAATCATACCATACACCAAATATAACAAGCATTCTGAGAGTATTACATGGCAATACATAGTCCCCTACCGGTTAAAAATTCATTGTACTAAGACAAAATGCTAACTTGATCTGTAACTTGTCATGGTGTAAGCTTTTATATAAAACAAATATCAATTCCATATCTTTAAGCATGACCCAAAAAAGTGTTGAAAACTGATTTATAATTTACGTGAATTTTTTAAGTCCAAGGACCATAACTCTGCACAAAATCATCAGACCGTAACAAAATTCGAACTTGATCTGTTACTTGTCATGATAAAACTATATATCTATTATCAAATCAAAATCTTCAAGCATGACTAAAGAAAGTGCGGAAAACTGATCATTTAAGTGAATTTTCTAAGTCCAAGGACCATAACATGAATTCTGCACAAAATCATCAGACCGGAACAAAATTCAAACTTGATCTGTAACTTTTCATGATAAAACAATAGACCAAGTATCAAATCAATATCTTTAAGCATGAAGAAAAAAGTGTTGAAAACTGATTTGCCGGACTGATAGATGGATGGACAGACAGAGTGCAAACCTAAAGTACCATTCGACTTCGTCGGTAGAGGACTAATTATGGACAAATACGTGTAGTGATACCAGTATATATATATCAACTTACTATTTCCTAGTTCTATTTCAAGACTTGAACAATGGTAACCATTATATAATAATACTGATAGGAATAACAAATAATGTTTTGCCATCAAAAGTTGCTCAGAATCTGAAAATAAAATTTAATGATATCAATTTATAAATATATTTCCAATCATGATTTCCCTGAGAGAGGGTTGCTGCTCATAAGGAAGCTATTAAATCAAGAGTTCCAAGTGGTGAAGTTGGAATCATCTCTTCGAAAATTTTACGGACACCATCATAATTTAATTGACTGTTATGAAATATCTGTTTCACAGATGATGAAGGATTTGTTCAATCTGTTGTAACCACAATTCTGTCCACTTTTACTCGAACGTGACCTACAGAATTAGAGTTATCACCAGTTTTATACGTACATGAGGAACACAACAAAAGCCTCATGTGGAGCAGATATGCTTACCCTTTGGGAGCACCTGATATCACCCATGGTTTTTGGTGGGTTTTGTGTTGCTCATCAGTCTTTAGTTTTCCATGTTGTGTTTTCTGTGATGTTTTTTGTCTTTTCTTCGTTTTTCATTTTTATACGACCGCAAAAAATTTTTGCAGTCGTATATTGGTATGACCTTGGCATCGTCGTCGTCCGAAGACACACTGGTTTTCGCACAATAACTTTAGTTTAAGTGAATGGATCTCTATGAAATTTTACCATAAGGTTGAAAATCACAATAGAAAGGTTGGGATTGATTTTGGGGGTTATGGTAAAAACAGTTAAGGAATTAGGGGCCAAAAAGGGGCAAAAAATAAGCATTTTTGTAACTTCCAGACAATAACTTGTGTTTAAGTGTATGGATCTCTCTGAAATTATACCACAAGTTTCCATACCACAAAGGGATGGTTAGGATTGGCTTTGGGGGGTTATGGCTCAAACCATTTAGGAATTAGGGGCAAAAACGGGGAAAAAACAAGGGTTTCCTGGTTAATGGACAATTTAAAAGCAGTGTAAGGGAGGTAATCCAAAAACAAAATTGTACAATGTTGGATTACCTCCCTTACACTGCTTTTGAATTATCTATATAAGACTTTTATGATGTATTTAAATTGGTAATTATGGTTGCAAACTCATTGGAAATTTGAATTGAGATTATGACCATATATTGAGGGAAAGGATTTTTTTGGGGGGAAAAGGGGGGGGGGGGGGGGGGGGGGGGGTCAATATGCAACAGCATAGTGTATTTCACAAAAGCAAAAAAGCAAAAAAAAGGGGGGGGTAATTTTTTTTTTGGGGGGGTGGGGGGTGTTGATCAATTCGCAACAGCATAATGTAATACACAAAAGCAAAAAATATATAACCAATTCTAAGTTCTTTGACTACAGTTATTTGGTGTCAGAAACCTATTATGTGTCAAATATTTAATTACAATACAAATTCAGACATGTATCAAGCGCGAATATTGTGTCCATTTTCGCCCAAACTGTTCAGGGTTGGACCTCTGCGGTTGTATCCAGCTGCGCTCAGCGAAGCATTTTATTTGCCATTGAAATAACAGTTTGTTTTCCACTTATGAGTTTGAATGTCCTTTTGGTATCTTTCGACTCTCTTTCGCAGATATTTAGATTTTAATATCAATAAATATATATCATGTTCATCTGTACTTTTAGAAAAATAAAAAAAATACTCCAAGAGCTGTAGGGAAGGGATTTCAATCCAAATTTTTACTTTTTAAAAGTCCTTTGAACCAAAATCATCATAACCATGAATAAACTATACAACAGTAGTAAAACCCATCCAATTAAAATCAGATCTTTCAGTTTGCTCACAAACTACAAGCAAATCTTATTATTGAAAGTGAAAAATTTGATTTTAATCAAATTTTAGTAAAACAAAACAAAAAATCATTACCTTTCCGCACAACCCCCTTAAATTAGTTCATACCCATCATTCTACAAAGTTTAATAAACAGCAGCGCATGATAGGCCCGTCGCTTTTTCATAAAATAAAGTTCAATAACTTCTCAATGTTATATCAGAAATAAACTAGATATCATTGAGATGGGAGCCATCTCTGTGGGCCCCGCTGTGAATAATGTGTGGTAAAAAATTTGTATCTTTATCATTGGACATAGGTTGTCAACTGAAACCAAAGTTTATGACCTTGACCTTTGACCTAGGGAATTGTACATACATTATGACACACCCTCTGGTGTTGGTTTATATACATGTCAAGTATGAACTTTGAAATCATAAAGGTTCTCAAGATATATAGAGCGGACACGATCTTTACCATAGCACATGGGGTTGTCAACTAAATCCAAACTTTTTAACCTTGACCTTTGAACTAGGAAGTTGTACATACATTATGACACACCCTCTGGTGTTGGTTAATATACATGTCAAGTATAAACTTTGAAATCATAAAGGTTCTCTAGATATAGACGAACAGACGGACAGACTGATCACTATAGGGCCTCCGCCATTCGGCGGGGCCCTTATTAAAAAACTAAAGGGAGGTTTTCTTAATAGATATAAACCAGTCATCAAAGTTTCATGAAAACTGCTCAAAGCACTTTGAAGATATTGTCCGAAAACTGGAAAATCAACCATTTCTTATAAATAAAATCCCATATTCATGACATTAAATCGAAAAATGTAAAACCTAAAATTTATAAAAAATGAAAGGGAGCTTGCGTCAATAGAAATGCACAATTTCAATAAAACCAGGTTCAATCCACCATTTTCTACATAAGAAAATGCCTGTACGATTTAGTCAGGAATATGACAGTTGTTATCCATTCCTTTGATGTGTTTGTTTTTTTGATTTTGCCATTTGATTGGGGACTTTCCTTTTTGAATTTTCCTCCGGGTTCAGTATTTTTGTGATTTTACTTTTTCCAAAGTTTCATGAAAACTTCTGAAAGCAATTTGGAGTTATTGTCAGAAAACTGGAAAATCCCCCTTTTAATGAATAAAACCCCACAGCTTGGAAACACAAAATCTAAAATTTATAAAAATCAAAAGGGAGCAGACTCAGCTCATGTCAATAGATATAAACAATTCACCAAATATTCTTGCAAGTTGGTGAAAGTATTTTCGAGTTATTCTCCAAAACTGGAAAACCCCCCTTTTTTAATGAATAAAACTCTATTACTTGGAAACGTAAAATCTAAAATTTATAAAAAACGACAGGGAGCTCACGTCAATAGATATAACCACTTCAACAAACATTGACAAAGTTTCATACAAATCGGTTAAAGCCTTTTTGAGTTATTGTCCAACATGTTGACAACGGACAGACGGACAACGGTATACATGGTATACAATAATACATCCCGTAAACGGGCATATAAAAAGGAATATGTCATCATGGTCATCTCAACTTTCCATTAACCGCCCCCAGCAATTGTTCAAAAGAAAAAAAAATAAAATGTCTCAACTAACTGTCAATTGTTTTCCTTAGATGCTAGAATAGTCTGTCAGTCATCTGAGCTGTAAATTTATCCACATGCCCTATTCCATATTTTCACATAATCATGATAATTTTCAAATACTGATCAGGAGCTTCTAGCCCCTGAAACATATGACATACCATGACAAACACAAAACCTGCAAAAATTAAAACTAGATGATCGAAGCCTTAATTAAAAAAAAAACAAACAAGAGGCTGTCAGAGTGACAGCAAACTGGATTTTCCTGCAGAGGTCTAACCTTGAACAGTTGAGCAAGTATGGACACTACATTTAAGCTTAAAACAGCTCTGAATTTGGATTGTGATTGAAAATTTCACACAGCAAAGGTTTGTGACACAAAATGAATGTGGTCAAAGAACTGAAATATTTGAAATTGGACATTTACCTATTATGGTCCAATATCCAAAATCTAAGTACATATTAGAATCAGCATATCAAAGAACCCCAAAAATTCAACTTTTGATGAAATCAGACAAAAGTTTAATTTAGGACCCTTTGGACCTTAATGTGGACCAATTTGATAAAGGAGTCCACAATCCAAAATCTCTCAATACATGGTTAGATTCAGCATTTCAAAGAACCCCATGAATTCAATTTTTGTTGAATCAAACAAAGTTTAATTTTGGACCCTGATTTGGACCAACTTGAAAACTGGGCCCAAAAATATAATATGTAAATACAGGTTTAGATTCAGCATTTGAAAGAACCCTATATATATTTAATTTATGTTGAAATGAAACACAGGTTAATTTTATCCATAATATTTTCTGTGCAAAGGGAAATAACTCAAACTGGATAAATAGTTCTCTAAAATAATATATGATGCAATTTTTCAAATTATAATCAATAATATAATAACAACAACCAGTGATGACTAAGTTCTCTAAAATTAGATATGATTTAACACGCAAACATTGTTAGAATCAGCATATCAAAGAACCAAAGAATTTGATAGTTTTTGATGAAATTAAACAAAAGTTTAATTTAGGACTCTTTGGACCTCAATGTGGTATTATCTTATTAATAATGAAAAGAAATACAGGTTTAGATTAAGAATTTCAAAGAACCCTTTAAATATTCAATTTATGTTGAAATCTGCAAACACGTACAGTTTAATTTTGGACCCCGATTTGGACCAACTTGAAAACTGGGCCCAAAATCAGAATCTGAATATATGTTTATTAATAGACAATATAAGCTTAGTTTTTTAAGAAGGAGTTCACTTCATCAAAAAAAAAATATATAGCATTCAGAAAATTATTTTTAACAGAATAACAAACAAACTTGCCACAAAATTCTTCAAACAATTTACGTTTGTCATTCAAATCTTGTTGAAATGACGAACAGGAATATATATGGTTTAGGGGTGGAGATCTCGACAGTTTAAAAGTTCTCAAAAGGGGGGGGGGGGGGGGGGGGGGTAATCCCCAGGGTACTTGCCCTTTATTTCATATGATTTGTTTTTTTGTCCCATACATGAATATATATGGTTTCGGGGTGGGGATCTCAACTGTTTACAAGTTCTTAAACAGGAGGGGGTGGGGGTGACCCCAGGGGACTCTCCTTTTATTTCATTTGATTTGTTTTATTGTCCCATACAAGAATATATATGGTTTTGGGGTGGGGATCTTGACCGTTTACAAGTTTTCAACAAGAAGGGGGG